GGTGTGTTGTGTAGCACAACATTTTGATTTTCTTTGCATTACTGCCTCAGTCCCCGGAACCAGAAAACTTACCTTTTACTCTTTCAACTTAGATGCTTCCCTTCCATGTGAGAACCCAAGGAAATGAAGCACAAATATGCTTATGAGGCATGCAGACACATCCTCGGCGGCTGTCCGTTCAACAGAACAAATTAATTAGTTGAAATTATTTTTCTTGGTACCAAAGAAAAATCGGCCCCTCTTTGGAATACACTGTGCTGATGATCAGAAAATAACCCTGAGCACAGTGGTACCTGCCCCTTCCCTTCTGCCATCTGGAACAATGTTCCTGCATGGCGATGCCTCATCAACTCCGTGTCCATGCTTCCCACCCGGCCTTTATCTCCTCTCCCCATCTTTCACTCCTGGGATGACACACATCACCCTCCCCCCCCCTTTCATCTAGTGGGCCTTAGCTTCCTCATATACTAACTTCCTGTTTTGTTATCTCTAAATGTTAAGAACGGTACCTATTAGATTCTTTTTATTTATTTGCTATTTTAATACATTTTTAATTAAAGTAGAATTACATCTTTAAACAAAGAAAAACCTAAGAAAGCAGAAGTGGCCTTTTACACAAGTTATAAATCACCATAAATGGTATAAAAGATGTACATACAAAGATTATAAAATCAAAAGCTTTCTCCTTTTATCCATCTACCCTTCAAGTCCTCTGCTAATGAACACTTTTTCCATTGTTCCACAAATATTTTATGTATGACATATGCAAGCATACGAAAATTGAGATGGGGGTTCTGGAGAGATGGCTTAGTGGTTTAGAGCACTTGTTCTTATAAAGGATGTAGGTTCAGTTCCCACCACCCACAAGGTGGCTCACAACTCCAGTTCCAGGGACTCCAATACCTTGTCTTCTTTTTTTTTTTTTTGTCCACCACAGGTACCACCACACACATGGTACACATATATACATGCATGCAAAATGTTCATGCAAATAAAATTTTAAAAATCTAAAAATAATCATATATAGTTTCTATTTTTATACAGATTCTGTTTATATGTAAGAATAATAAGAGCACTGCTTTAGGTTTTTATTTTACTTTTATTTTTGTATTTTGTATATGTACATATATATGATATGTAGGATGTGTGCCTATGTGCATATACAGTCTCATGTGTATAGACACATATGTATCGAGGTGTGAATGTCTGTGTGTGTCCATGTGGAGCCCAGAGGTTGATGTTGAGTGTCTTCCATGATCACACCATACTTTAATTACGCAAGGTAGTGTCTCTTACTGAACTCAGGAGCCACCAGTGCGCAGCGAATTGTGGGTTACAGATGGACCACTATGCTGACCTAGCTCTTATGTGAGTGCTGAGGATCTGAACTGCAGTCCTCATATGTCTATGGTAAAGGCTTTATCCACCCCAATCCCTGCTCTGGCTTTTTATCAATGATTCTTACAGCCCTCCCCCAGCTCTAACTTGTTTTCTGTAATTGTTTCATGCAATTCCATTATGTGGATGACCAACTTATTTATTAATCCTCATTGACAGACATTAAGATTTCTTAACATTCACAGCTTTGGATACAACTGTAAGCATCTGTACCCACAACCTACTCATGCTCAAACACTTCTCAGAGTGTTTTGGTGATTATTGCTATATTGTGCTTTGAAAACTAATGTTTGGACCACTACAGTGTTTGGATGTCCCCAGTTATCAGACTTTTCTGAGTTTTGTCAACACGATAGGAACAGTTTGTTTCACTGTGATTCCTGTTTCTCCGGGTGAAGATGAGAAAAGCAACGAACGGGCAGATGATCTCTAGTTCTTCTCTGTACACCTATTTATTTTCAGTCTCCAGCCTTCCTTGCTGGTTGAGTCACATCTTAAGTTGCTTTCTTAGACCTCAGCCTAAAACAGTCACCCAAGCCACCATGTCTCATGTCAACTTTAATACTCTCTGCATAGAGTCAGAGTTGCATATTTTTCTTACCTGGTCACAAATTTCCTTCCTCTAGAATAGGAACTGAAATAGGGCCAGGATCTCATCTGTCTTGTGGGCTTCTGTCACAGCCATCTAAGCCCGGCTCACCATAAGCCATTCACATATTTTTTTCAATGAATGAATTAATAGAAATGTATCAAATTAGCTCTTCTGTGTCATAAATATTCACTTGTCCAAATTTTACTTGCTTTAAAGCTGGTTTGTGATATTTTATTAAAATAATAGCTATAGATTTTTAGGCAACTGAATTTATCTATTTTTCTCTTTGTATAACTTTCTTTGCAGCGTTTATAAATTTGCCTACAACTCCCTTGAAAATGTTTGCAATTTCATCTTTAGGTCCAAACCTTAGGCTCTATAAAATTATAAAATTTATGTGTATTAATTAAGTGAAGGATCTAGGTTTGAGTTTTCTATTAGTAGATGCTCAGTCTATCAACCTCACTAAACCATCTCCTAGACAGAATCAGCCCAAGTTTACCAGAACCACATCTCCATAGGCATTGGGTCTCTTGCCAGACTTGATTACATTCTTGGATTTTTTTTCCCTAATAAATTCCACAACAGTTTTGTTTATATCTGGGCTACTTTATTTCCTGCCAAAACAGAAACATGATATTTTTTTGCTCATGTAAGTTTACAAGAACAAAAGAATAAATAAGGGGACTACAGCAAAAGGGAATAAAAGATGTCTTTCTTATTTATATGTTTATTTATTTGTTTGTGAGATTCATCCCAGAATCTCAGACAAGTGCTCTACACCGAATCACAGTTACTTATCGTTAGCAAAAATTTTGTAGCTGGCAAGTGATAACTGACCGAGTAAAACAGAAAAGGCAGAACTCATGTTCAAGGGGCAGCAAGACACAGACTGACTGAGGCGCAGGATGTGGAAGCATGGGGCACCTGCAAAGGCTAGAGTTAAAAAATAACTAATTAGCTCTACAATGCAAAGAGGTCAGCCCTAAGACCATATGCACAAGTGACACTCGGTAGACTTAGCCGGTTGTATTTAGACATTTAGATATATGTATAGAACAATGGCAATCAAGGGGTTTGAGAAGGGAGGCAGAGGAGATGTCAGAGGGAAGGGCATGGTGGTGGAGGTTGGAATGAGTAAAGGAAAGAGGGAAGTGATGCAGTTAGTTTTTCATCAAAAGCTTGGAAAGCTTAGTGAGGAGCTGCAAGAGCCCTAGGTTCTCTGCCACCACGCCGAATGTTGAGAGAAGTGTTTAAGAATGAAAATGGGATATATGAGGAGGGGGATTAGGGTTGGCATGAAGATAATAATAAAGACATAAATCTCATTCCACAATCGGAAATAAAATTAATATAATCAGAATTAATAAGTAGAATAGGAAAGCCTATTGTAGAGGTAATTTAGACAGCTTAGCATGCACACAAGAGGAGTTGAAAAGGGTATGGAGACAAAGGGTGGGCAACAACTGGTTTGGTTTTCTATGAACCTGGGACATGCTAGTATGTGGTTCTGATACATTGACTTATTTTTTCAAAACAGGGTTTTAATAGCTAGCTAAGGCTAGCCTTAAACTTAGTGTTCGGACCTCAGCCTTCCAAGGGCTAAGATCCAGACCTGTGCCACTATGCCTGGCTATTTGACAGCTGGTTAAAACTTTGTATATATATTGAGCTAAAAAAAAAAAAAAAAAAAGAAGAAGAAGAAGAAGGTGTAGGGGTAGAGCATCTACATAGCATTTCTGTGGCCCTGGATTTGGTCCCAGGGAGGAGGGGGTGGTGGGTGTGATTAAAAGATGAAAAGGAATAGATGACTTTATATCATTGTAGAAAAATATAAACTCCAGCACAAAGCTTGGCATCCAAATTCTGGGGGAGTGTTGAATGGGTAGATAGTATGTCATTATTTTCAAAACTCTCCAATTTCTCTTAACAGTGCAAAGTAAAATGAGAATGTGCTTTATAGACTGATAGGTCATAAATTTAGAATATAATGTATAAGAAATAAGTGCTTGTCTTTGGTGATGACATTTGAATGGAGTTTAAAAGAAAAAGTCAGTATGAATTTTTAGTTTATTTTAGACTTTTCACCAGGAAATGTGGTGGTTCTAAGACACCAGCCATGGCCACGACCATTCATTGGTATGCGTTTGTCAGGACATGACAATATAATTTCTACCAGAAAAGTCTTTTTAGCTCAAGGGCTGGCTTATGACTTGGGCTTAGCAGTTTCCTCTCTTCTGCTTTTGTCTGTCTTTGAAAATGGGATTAAAACTGGGTCTGCCTGAAGGTAGATGATGGATACTCAGGAAATCCTGGCACTTAGTGCTATGGTATAAGGCTAAAAATGAATTATCTGTGTCGACAGGAGTTACTACTTACAAGAAGACAACCAGGATGTTAAAACTAGAGAAACACAGTCATGTGATGTATTTGGACCTCCCCCTCAGGGAGCCTAAAGTTCTGGTAGCAGAAGAAAGAACTGTATAAAAGATGTGACTATTCATTATTAGGGCAGAGCTTATTTTCCAAGACCAAGAATGTTTTACCAACAGAATCTCACTGCAGAATTGAGTCCAAAATTTACTTTTAAGTTGCAATGTTATTTTTGCTAGGAACGAAATGTCACAAAAATACTAAGAAATGGTAAAATAGTATTGTGTGCTGTTTTTAGAGGAACTAATTTGATTTGGGTTTCTTTGTAAGACACAGATGAGTTTGAGTCACCTTGGATTTTCTTCTCTGTGTTTTGTACATGTTGATCTAATTTCTTGATCATGCACATTGGCTTTTTAATCTGGCAATTTTACACTCATGGAGCTGTTAGACTAGGCTGCAATTATTTTTGCTACCTACTTATAGAGGGAAAAAATTTCACGTCTAAGTAGATTTAAGTAGAAGTTTCAGAAGTGAAATGTTGCACCAGCTAAGGTTAAATGTGTAATTGATTTGGGTGCCTTCTGTACAACAGTGTTAATTGAAAACCGTATCTTAAAACTTTTATTGTTCCTAGAATAAATTACTGGAAACCAAAGGACAGCACCAAGAGGAAGAAAGAGCCCAAATCCATCAAGCTGAGCACTGGAGGTATAACTGGCCAATAAAACAAGCATCCTTGGTAAAATCAATTACTTACAAAGTTTTGCAGCATTTTGGGAAAACATTAGAGCAACATTAAATAATGTTCTGGAATGCAAATCACCTCCACATCTGTTACTGTGTTACAGTGTGTGTGATATGCCAACTGCTGTGTATCTATGTATATATATACTTGTACACATACATATGTACATGTATACAGAATATCCACACTTCTTGGATTAAGGACATTCAAATTTATGAAAGAAGGCTGAATCACAGGGTTGTAGAGGATGGCTTAGTGCTTAAGAGCACTTATTGCTCTTACAAAGGACCTGAGTTGAATTCTCACCACCACCTTTAGCTACTCATAACTGCCTATAACACTTGCCCCAGGAAGTAACACCTGTTGTCCCAAGAACTCTGATGCTCTCCCTGGCTTCCTTGGAACCTGCCCTCATGTGACCATGCATGCATCAGCTTAAAGGAAGAAGGATGAATCAAGTTTTCTGTTTATTTAGGCTGTTATGTTATCTTCGCCCATGCAACAGACATCACATCCCTCTGAGACAGAACATTACATTTGTAAATGACTTTGGAATTGCTGGATTGATATAGATGGTTTGACCCTACTGCTTGAGAACAAACACTTGGGGAAAAAAGCTCATTATTATGTTGATGAATACATTAGGGCAAGGGAGAACTTAAGATAGAAGGAATAATTTTTAATAGATTAAGTATTCTTTATTGTCTAGATTATAATATAATTACAATATTTTCCCCTTTCCTTTCCTCCCTCCAAACTTTTGGATATGCTCTTCCTTATTCTCTTTTGAATTCCTGCCCTCTTTTTTTATTAATTGTTACATGTATTACATGTATTTGTATGTATGAACATATACACACACACACATACACACAGAGAGAGAGAGGGAGGGATATCTGTGAATATAACATGCTCAGTCTGTATAATGTTACTTGTATATATGTTTTCAGGACTGACCACTGGGTATTGGATAGTCGTCCAGCCTGCTCTTCCCTGGGGATGACTATTTCTCCTACTCTCAACATTCCTTGGTTACCTATAGTTCTTTGCATAGGGTTGAGGCCTCTTGGACTTTTCCCTATTCACTTTGGCATGCTTATTGGTATCATCCTTATTCAGCTCATGTTTGTGAGACTTCCTAGGTATAGCTTTAGACATTAGTAGCCTAGGCAATCTCACAGAAAACTCCCTGGTATCAGATGTAATTGTTTTGAGAATACCCAGTGAGAATCGCCATAAATGTTAGAACATTGCTAATAATACTGTACTGACTCTGTAATGATAGGTTCTTCCTGGGTGATAGGTACTACCTAGGTGTAGGTACTAGATAGGTACTACCTGCGTGTAGTACCTTAGAAGAACTTAGTGTAAGGGCTTTCATGATATGATGAAGCATATTCTTTTTGCAAGCAGATAACTTCTCTTAAGTATTTAACTCCCCCATCACTGAAATATGTTTTTTTAAAATTTTATTTATTTTTATGAGTAAGGATATTTTCCTTTCATGAATGTATGATCATGTACATGCTTGGTGACCCTAGAGGCCAGAAGGGAGGGCATCACATCCTCAGGGATTGGAGCTACAGAAGGTTACGAGTCACTATATGGGTGCTGGGACTTGAACCTGGGTCCTCTGGAAGAGCAACCAGAGCTTTTGATTCCTGTGCCCTCTCTCCAGTCGCACTGAAGTGTATTTTGGAGTTGTAATGGTTTCATTTTGTAGATGAGAGACTCTGAAAGATGTCTAGTGGATGCTCCCATTCTGAGGTACCTGTAACCGCTGGCAGGCGCTGACCTTCCTTTGAGTAGACTATGCTGTTCCTATTATTCCCACAAAGTGCTTTTAAAATGTTAAATGTGAATTTAGATGTTTTACTCTGATTTAGGAAAACATCAAGACCTTGAGACATTAGTTAAATTGCTTTGTTAGGCAAACTGAGGTAAGGAAAGGACCTTTATTATTGCCTATAAAGTAGACCATGCATTATCTAGTATTTTTATTAGTTTTGCTCATTTTCTCTTTAGAAGACTTTTTTTGGGTTAGAAAAATACTGATATTGTTTTTATATATACAGTGGTTGATACCAGTAGCCAATTATTCCTCTGGATTAATTAGATTAAAAGCCTTAAGTATCTTAAAGATAGCAATGTGTCACATTAATAGTCCTCATTCTTAATAAGTTAATCTTTGATGGGTGCCACATAACGATGCTTGCTATTTGGTTAGAAGTGGAGAGGGCTGTGTTTTTGTTACAGGAATCTTGGCCATCATTCTTTAAATTTATTGTCCATACTGCTGAATACATAAATATTGGTGGGACCGTTTATTTTCTGTTCTTATTTCCTCTCTTATTGATTCTGGTGACACATAGAGCCAAATTAAACCCACCAGGAAATCTCTGTGGATAATAAACTCAGTAATAAAGTTTGAAACAAATAATCAAGCCTTTAGACACATATTTTATATTCTTGATCAATTTTTGAAAAGAGCTTGCATTTGTACTTCCTTTAAAGTTTATAGAGTGCATTCCCATGGTATCGTGAGATACACATTCAATAACATTGGTGCCTCTTCTGAGGGCAACAACACAAGCTATGTGGTATGCATGTAGGATATATAATCTAGGTGTACCCTGGGAGAATGATTTCATTAGTAGTCAAAAAGCGACAAGCTTTCTCCTGTTTAGAAGTTGACATGGAAGAGCACTCAACCCTGCACTGATGATAGAAAGCTTGTGGGACTTCGTGTGAGCTTTTCAATGAGTCGTGCAATGGGTGTGTACATCTGGAACTGCACCTGACCTTCACCCTGTATAACCACTTGAGCAAGAGAAGCACCTAAGGACCCCGCAGAGGGCTGACAGAGCACCAGTTCAAAGGCTCGAGTGGATCTGAACTGTGAGCTGAAGGCTGGAATGAAGTCTATTGATTGTGAAAACTCAAACCATCTCCGAGTAATAGTTCTTAATCCAAATTAACCCTCAGGGGGAAAACAAACCCAGAGCACAAATTTTGATAGCAATAGCAATGAAATGTATAGGCTCAAGCTAGTCAACTAAAATGCAACAGGAACCTTTCCTCCCTGTTTGGATGGAGAGAAATAAACAGTGCACTGCTTTTTGTTTCTGGTTGACCCATTGCAGTGGGCAGGCCAGGTGAGGACCTTCTGAAAGCAGCATGGAGAGCTCAGTCTCTCTTCCTCTTAGTAGCCAAGCTTGTGAGTAACTCTGTCACCTTGTTTTTTGAACACCCAGTCAGAGCAGTTAGTGCTGAGTCATGTGTGTTTTGGATTCCATCCCAGTGGACTTTTCATCCATAGCAGTGCATGTAGGGAGCCTGTGCCTAGAAGCCTCATTCACTCAATAAGTATGTTATCAGAACACACTCAGCCAAGGCTCCATACCAGGCAATGGGGTGAACAAGTGGGGGGAGGGAGGGGAGAGGAGGGGCCTCTGACCACATGCAATCACAAAGACCAAAACAGAAGTCAACAACTGAACACTGAGACTTTTGCAAATGGTGCTGAATACCATGAAGGTGATAACAAAGAGTGAGCAGCTGGAGGTGACAAGTGACTAATGACCTCACAGAAGAGCTAACATCAGAGGATGAGGAAGAAGAGGGCACACTGAACTCAGAGGCAGAGACTCCTACTGGAGTGGCCCCTGTTGCCAGCAAGATGGCAAGTACAGAGGCTCCGTTGTTGGAACGAGGTTGGACTTTGCATCCCAAAGTTTGGGTTACACTGGATGAAGATGAGTAGAGTTTGGAAGCTGGCAGGAAAGTGTGAAGGATGAAATATGGGATTGTATAAGACACTGTCTCTTAAGCCAGTGAGAAGAAAGCCATGGGAGACTCTTAAGCAGAAGGAAGGTGTCTTAGTCACTGCGAAGAGGCGCCATGACCAAGACAGCTCTTATAAAAGAACACATTCAATTGGAGCAGGCTTACAGTTTTTGGAGGTTACATCCATGATTATCCTGGTGAGAAGAAGCATGGCAGCAGGTATGGCAGGCGTGGTGCTGGAGAAGTAGTTGAGAGCTACATCCTGATCCATAGGCAAAGAGGAGAACACTGGTGGGGTGCAGGTTGCTATGTGAAGAATAAATGACTGGGCAGGGTGGAAACAGTGACCCAGAAAGGTAGTACTGATGGGAAGTTGAATGGTAGCCATGGACATGAGTGAATTCAGGATGTATTGATTAGTAAGGCAGCTAAGACATCTAGTGACTTGTACGGGGTAGGGAGGCATTGGGGACACTGAGGGAAAGCTCCTAGATAAAGGGACTGCTGATGGTTCAGATACTGGTGATTGCTGTGGAATCATGGACACCTGAGTCTGGATCCTTGGGACCAGGGTAGAATGATGGACCTACCTGTGGCGCCAGTGATTTGGTGTGAAGATGAGAAACAGAGATGCATCACTAGGGTGTGTTGGCCAGCCAGTCTACCCAAATTGAGCAGCCCAGAGTTCAGTGAGAGACACTGCCTTAAAAATTAATATGGAGAGAAATTGATGTGAGCACCCAGTGCTGATCTCTGGCCTACACACACACACACACACACACACACACACACGCACACGCACACGCACACGCACGCACGCGCGCACACACACACACGTACCAAGTGCGTTCACATTCCAGAATACCTTTGCTTGTGTTGCTCCCAGGGCAGTTTCCACTCATTAGCATTCAAGGCTGTTATTTAGTGAGCTTTTTCTCGGCCTGCCTGCTGAGAGAGTAGAGACTCAGACGTAGGGTCCTGTAATGAGCCAGGCTGTAGCATCTGTATAGGTTTCCAGGGTGAGACAGAAAGCTGAGATGCAGCCACTGCCTGCTAGGAATACACTTGCAGAGAAATAGCTCATCAGTCCCAGGAGATCAAAATGAGCCCAAATGCAGTTGACGTCTTGGCTGGCACTGAGTGAGCTCAGACAACCTACATGACTGGGACATCCAGCCATTGCTTTTCCTGGCAATCCCCCTATCTCTGAGTTGTGACTTATGTCCATCCTCCAGGACCTAATTTTGCTTTCCACAACTGAAAAAGAGGCTTTCCCTTCCTTCCACAAAGCCACACCAAATAGAATAGCTGCATATGCTGGCCACTCTTCCTGCCCCAAGAACTTTCTAGTCTTATCTTCTAAGTTTCTAAGTCACTCATTGCTGACTATCCAGCTCCTGAGTTCCCATCGTTCCCATCTGTACTCAGCCATGCATAGGTGACTTAGAGGATGGTGGTGAAATGCCCATAAGACAACTATTTAGAGTAATGATTAATTATCAAGCGAGCCCCAGGTAGCCATCTGTAGAAATAGTCAGTGCATCATATCTGTGAATCTATTCATGGCTTGAACAGACTTGAAAATACTCAGAAAAAAAAAGATACTGTATCTATAGGTATGTGTTGTAACAATTTTTCTTGCATTATTCCTTGAGAATAGAGCATAATGGGTCTCTTAGTCTTTACACAACACTGATATGGTATTAAATATTATAAGTAATCCATGACCATTTAAAGCGTGCAGGGGGATATGAGAATGGTGGTAGTGCTATGTCGTTTTAAAGAAGAGACACGAGCATCCATGCCCTTTGGTACCCACAGCAGCCGTAGAGTCGACCCCTCCGGATATTGAGGGATAGCTTGTTAAACCATCACTGTGCCGGCAGCTTCTATACTGACCTTTTTGAGAATAATTGTCTTATTAAAACAGATTTAAGTTTTGAACCTGTAAGTGAGACAGAACATCAGAGAAAGGTGTACTTAGTCTGTCTTTTGAAAGTTCTTTTCTCTCCTTGTAGCCTGCTCATTCCCCTTCTACTTTCTTCTCCTGCGATTTTCTTCTGGCCAATGAGTGTGCTGCAGAGCTTGAGTGGGAAACGCTCTGTCTAGCCGTGGTACCGCTACAGAGCACTCTGCCATACCCCCACCCCACCCACCTAGTTCCTTCTGGCTCTAATATCTCTAGTCTCTGTCTTATCTCTTGACTTCCTTGGGTGACCAGAGCACTAGCTAAGATGACGGCAACTCAAGTTAAGAATTGATGCGCTTTTGACTTGAGACATTCCTGCACCAACCTCAATAAAGGACTGTCAGCAGACCCCATGTGTCCCTGGACAGAGGCTTCTGTAGATCTCCTTTACGATGACTGGGAGAAGCAACCCCTACAGCAGCTTGTGTATCACATTTGGTTCTCAAAAACCCCTTATCCCTGCAGCAGGCTTGCTACTTATGCACATTTCTCATTGTTTTAAAGGGTAAATAATGCTTTTCTGGACCGACTCCAAGGCAAAAATCAACCAGGTGGCCTGGAACAGTCTGGAGGCCGTTGGGATATGAATAGTACCAACAACTGGGTGAGTTTTTTCTTTTCTCTAAAAAAAAAAAAAAAAAAAAAAAAAAGAGGAAGAAGAAGAAAGAAATCTTTCTAAGCCAAAGAATAAAAGTAGATGAGTATTTAAAAATAAATTGTGAATCTCTCCCAGTTACCATCATCATCTCCACCCATCACCTCCAGTATCATCATCATTATTGTGCACTGTGATGGGCAGCTAGGGTAATTAGTATAAATTCAGCAGGGAAGAGAAAGTGGAAGACAGAGAGGAAGGGGAAGGGAAGGAGCAGAGAGAGGAGGAAAGAAAGACAAGGAGAAGTTTCAGTTTGGGCCAACTTTAAAAAAAATAAGTAACAAGACCTGCCTTTTGTTCTTAGCATGGGCTGGTCTGGAAGGCTTTTTATCACCTTTTGCCCAGAACTGCAACCAAAACAAATGAATATTTTCCCCCCAAGGAAATTTGAAGTGAAATGTGGTTATGAAAACACTAAGCATTCCTCTCTAGTAATGGGGCCTCCCTGTGAAACCAGCACATCAAAGGAACTAGGATTTAACTTTTCACTGCAATATGATTTTTTTTTTTTAAAAAAAAGCCCTATAGCCAAAGGTACTTTGAAAAGATGAAATGTCCTTACATATTTCTGTAGGAAAAAACACTCTTGCGAGTCTATATGTTTAATGTGTTTTTGTGTGCAATATATCCTTGAGCCAACAACAAAACTTTGAAATATGTGTGACTACAATGTGGGCAGAGTCAGAACTAATCACATTGTGTTTTGCAGTTTAATTAAATCCCAAGCGAATGAGGATTTAAAAGTATTTGTGTGTATGTGTATGGGTGTATGTGTGTGTGTGTGCATGTATGCATATTTGGAGTGAGGACATTTGATATTTTTAAATCATCAAAATCCAACAAAATAATCAAGTGTTGGGCTGACAAGATGGTTCAGTTGATAAGGTATTCATCATCCATCCTGATGACCTGAGTTTGATCCCTGGGCCCCACACGATGGAAAGAGTGATCTTCCACAGGCTCTCAGCCAACCTCCACATTCATGCTGTGGCATGCCCCACCTCCAAATAAAGACATATAGTTAAAAAACAAATCAAATACTTTCTAATCTGGAAATGAAGAGTTGAAGTGCAAAAGCTCACTGTGCAGAAGTCAATGCATTAATGATACTATATGCAGGGCTCCTCAGAAGGCAGCCAGAAGTTCAAATTGATAGTTTTTATTAAAATATGCATATTGAAGATGACTGACCATATGCACATTTGTAGAGAATGCATCTTGGGTGGGTCTGTTATCCACAATATACGTTGATGTATTCTGCTATGGCATTAAGAATCTGAACAACATGAAAGAGGGCAAACACATTTGAAACTCAGTCTCTGCGTTGTGTGATGTAACACACGCAGCGCTGATTCATTCACGAGGCTGTGTGAGTGGGAGACATAAGAAAACATACTTGGAAATCAGAATTCGTTCAAGACTTCTAACTTCACTATTGAGTTTCCACCTCTCCACTACTCAGCAACTTCCAGCAGTGCCTGGAAGAGTGTCTAGGATCCAGGGAAAATATGGGAACACCTGAGTGCATAGCAACTGGGATTCAATTAAGATTGTGACTTCAAACCCAGCTCAGCAGTGCCTACTGGAGACTGGGTTACAAATTGTTGATTAGACACAACAGACCAAAGAGAAGACTACCATAGTCTGATGACATAATGCTGACAATAACCTTTCTGTTGAATTATGTGTAAGAATTGAAAAGGAAAACAAATCACCTACATAGATCCCAAAGAATATTTATTCATATTACAGTAATAAGGGCTCAACAATGTTCACTTATATAGAATCAGTAAATAAAACCCAAAATCACTTCTACACATTTAGGGCAAACAAACAAACAAACAAACAAACAAAGAACCCAGAATATCTGATCAAAAATGTCAGAAGTCTTTAAAGAATTGTAAAACATTTCAGAAAGATGCCAGGAAATGAAGGGAATAAGTAAGTGGCAAGTTATACCCTGTTAATGGATAGGAATGAGTTCCTAGGTTATGGCTAATTAATTGTGAGATCAAAGAGCCAAGAAGGATAGAAGATAAAGACATGTACTTGAGTACCTAATTATTTTTGATGGATCACAGTTGGTAGTGGCAGGCCAAAAATTTGTGGGATTTCGATGTGTGACAGGGAAATGGAGAACACATCCCTGCAACACATGTCTGTGGGACCCACAAACATCTTTCTGAAATTAGACACATACCTTCCTGACACCATTTATGAAAATCAACTCTAGAGGAATGCAAGCTTATAAAGAAAAGCAAAAGCGTTTTAGATTTTAGAAGAAAATTAAAGACATTATTTATAGAAATTGAGCTAGGGAACAATTTTATAAGACCCAAAATGTAAAACAAAAAGGAAAAATAGCTATAGCTGCATTAAAATTTAAAATATCCATTCCTCAATGGACCCTAATCCAAAGTCAGAAGAGAGTGCCAGAAACTTGTGCTTTGTTTTGGTTTTTATTCTGGGTGTATTTTGTAAATACCAAACAGACTAAGGTTAGTATGTGGGGCATATTACAAGTGGGTCATTTATTTAGAAGTGAATGGATAGAAATTGAGCTTCTCTAAGTAGTGTGAGAAAGAACCTATGCCCCCTGTGATGGCTGGAAGGAAACATAGGAGCCAGTAGAAAGCCAAAGGCAGAGAAGAAAAGAAAGAAGGCCAAGGATAGGGAACTATGGTAAAACATGGAAAGAATAGTTCCTTGATATGTCACATGGATTCTTGGGCAGGAAACCCCTCATAAGTGTCTGTTGGAATGACAGACAGGATTGATTTTTATTTCTTAAACATTTTTTATTTCATTATAGTTTGATACTGCCTAATGTATATATTTATTCTTTAACAATTTTAAATTGCTTACATATTTTAAAAATGCATTTTTATTTTGTAAAGTTCCATGTTAGTTTTCATGAGGCACCTAGTATTGATGTTAAAAGTCACTGTAAATTACATGTTCAGTTATAATAATAGGCAAGGCTTCATGGTATGTATCTCTAAATGCTTTGTCTACAAGGGCAGTTACAAACTTGACATGGCCTCTGAGTTTCCTAGAGGACTAACAAGCCAACAGTTGCCTGTTTCCTAAGGGTAGGATGACCCAGTGTTATGTAAGGATGACCCTTTGCACAAAGTGGAAGTGGGGACTCATTAGTCCATCTATCAACTTTAAGGTCCCTTTAGAAGTCCCCTTTCTAGTGAATGATCCAGCGAGACTCCACTAAAACATTTCCATTCCAATTCCTCTGACCCAGAGTCTGTCCTTGCTGTGTTTGTGGAGGTGCCAACATTTACAGACCCATGTTGGCCTGTGTGTAACAGCACAGTTACTAAGATATTATTGGATAAGACATGACATTCTCAGGGAAGACCAAATAGCAAGTTAAATGCACCATGACTTAAAAATTAAACTCATTGCACTGGGACTTCAGTCATTAAAAAACAAAGAAGGTTACCTTAGCCTGCTGCACTGAGTATAATTTTCAGGAACTCCAATTTAGATTGAGTTTTATTTTGCTGTTTGTGGTAATTTATGTTTTCTTCTTATTTCAGGGTATATGAGAAATAGTCCTTTCCATCTGGCCTTCGTCAGCTGACCTTGAGAACCCTCACGAGATACTTTTCTTTTATGCAATGTTGTCTGGCTTCACTTTTCATATGTCAACTTCCCCTACTCAGCTTAGCAGTTGTGGGTGGTCAGTTTCTCCTCTGTCATTAGTTATATGTGGATTTAGAGGCCCATTACTGACTCATGTTTAATCTCAACAGCATAATGTTACCTTATTTTTCCTAGTTAGTTCTGCCTCTTATTAGAAGGATAATTAGAGCAATGTTAGTAAAATACTAAAAGGGAATCACGTGACATTCGGGGTAGTTAGACCTGTGTATGCTATAGGCTTATGCCTCCTGATTGACTTTTTGTTTTCCTTGCTAATCCTGACAGCAGGTTTTCGGATCCTTTGGGGGTCTTTTTAAAATTCCTACTTTCTTAATCTAGGGTACTAATGTGAGCTAAAGGTGATCTCTTTTATAGACAAATTTATAAACAAATTTCAAGCCACTTCTGTATAAATGGGTCATTTTTTAAATGAAAACTTCTCAACGTTTATTTTTACAGTCAGTATAGATCAAACAGAGTGAGAAGTCACAATTGGATCTTTCTTTGGTCTTTATATGTTTACTAGTGTTGTTCCCCTGATTTTCAAAGTGGAAAAAATTGGTTATTGGAAAGCCAATGTTTTATAAAAATTAACTAGACTCAGCTGTAGCCTCTTATCTGATTTGTAGGTATGAGGGAAACTTATCTTTTCTGTGTTCCATGCAACCTAGTTTAATAGGCTTTCCTGATCAGGCTCCGTGACCTTGAACAAGCACATCATTCTTAGAGTAAAAGAATATTGATCTCTATACCATGTAGTTCAGTTCCACAGCTACCTTTCCACCCTCTGGGATACATTGCATTCAGTGTTTCATAGAATAAAGGTCGATGGAATGAATCTATCTATATATGTATATATGTATGTGTATATATGTATAGATATATAGATAGGTAGATGATAGAGATGATAGAATTTGTAGAAAGAAAATAGATAGATGATAGTAAACATAGACAAATCAATGATAGAGCTTTTGGGTAGCTGAGCAATCAATAACACCTCGTAACATCAAGGGATCATCTCTTTTACCAAATTCTCTGTTAGGATCAATTTTACAAATCCCAATATTCAGGGAAACATTGGGATTTGAAATCTTAAACCATGACACATAAGTAGGGCTGTGGTGCCATTCAGAGAGCTCCATATTGGGTGGGGTAAAGGTGGCTAAGAACAAATGGTGTTCTGGTAATTTCTCTAGAATAATAATAATAATAAATAAATAAAAATCAGGTATTTTTATTTCCCGGTTCTCTGCGAACAGATGTTGCGTGCACACTGCTGACACTAATATGAAATGTTTGGTTCATTTGAAACCCTTGTTGTTGTCATATATGAAGAAAACTGAATCCCTCAGCCTGTGCTGGAAACACCGCCAAACCAATTGTAAATGTGCTGTGGTAGCAGACATTTGGCTGCCGTGGCAAGCAGCCACTTTAGCCTTACACCTGCCAGCCTGGCTCCCTTACTGACAGGTTTTGGTGTGTGTGTTCAGGAATGGTATCCCTGCTGTGGTGATTGTCACAATGGACTCGGCGGCAGGTGAAAGGATGCTCTCTTCTTTAGAAGGCTCTTGGGGAATTTGGGCCCAAATCCTCCTTAGTATATGGCATTTCCTATACTCTCCAACCGATTTTATTCGTATGTCTGGTTCCACTTATTTTTAAAGTGCAGGTATGGAAAATTGCACCGTCGTGGCTGAAATTATGCATATGTACGGGCTGTAAGTATCTTTCTTAAAGAATTTCTTAAAGTATGTAGATGGAAGTTACTAGGAAAGAAACATGAACCACTGCCTGAGGAAGCCTACTAGTATGCCTTTCATATCTAACCAGCCTTGATGAACCAATTGGAATAAATTTCGACTTGCATATAACTCTGGATAGGAAATCTCTAAGTCCTGTCTGTATTTCTACACTTTGAGGGTGCTTTCTTTTTTTCTGGGAAAGAAGCAAATTGTTAGAAAACACTTTATGTGTTGTAGAAATAAATATTGATTAGTACAAATTAGCAACTAACAAATTGATAATATTTCAGGTTTTATACCTAGATAGTTATAATTAAACTTTGTTGTATATCCTTCTGGATTCTTTCCAGTATGCATATCAAAGGATATGTTGTGGGACTAGAGAGATGGTGGCTCAGTGGTTAAGAGCACTGGCTACTCTTCCAGAGATTCTGAGTTCAATTCCCAGCAACAACATGGTGGCTTGCTCCCATCTGTGAGGTGCCCCCTCTGGCCTGCAGGTGTACATGCAGATAGAGCACCATATACATAGATCTAAAACAAAAACAAAAGGATGGATACTGTATAGATACTGTGTAGATTGTTGGTTGAGAGTGAGCTCCCAGAGTTTGAACTGGTGATTTAAAGAATGTACATTGATGAGATATCTTAATCCATTCAAGCTGTTTTAAGAAGCTTCCTGAGTCTTGTTAGCATATGAACATCTTTATTTGTCATGTTTCAGGAGGCTGGAAATCCAAGACAGAGGGACTCACTAACTTGGTGTCTGGGGAGACAGCACTTTCTGGTTGATAGCCTTCTGGGCAAGGGGTCTGTCTTGAGCCTTCTAAAGAGTCCTGATCCCATTCATGTAGAGACTCACACTGTGACCTGGTCAACTCTTAGAGTCTCCATTTCTGGATGCTTATTACTGTAGGGATTGGGATTTGAACATAGGACTTTGGTGGGATGATCTCTTAGTTCATTGTCTCGTCATTGTGATAAAAGCCTGGCAAATGCAGTTGAAGGGAGGGAGGGAAGGAGGGAGGGAGAAAGGAAGAAGAGGAAGGAGAGAGCACGGGAAGGATGGACAGAGCAAAGGAAGGAGAGAGGAAGGGGAGAGTGGGAGAAAGAGTGGGAGAGAAGGAGGCGAGAGGAAGGGAGGATGAAGGGATGGAGGGATGGAGGGATGGATGATTTATTTTGGCTCATGGTTGGAGAACACAATCCATCATGGTGAGGAAGGCATGGTCGCAGGAATCTGAGGCCACATTGGAAGCAGATAGAGATGAATGCTATTGCTAAAATCATGTATTACTCCTCAGATTCAGTCTGGGACTGAATGCTGCCATCCACGGGTAGTGTGGGTCTTCCTATCAGTTAAAGCTCTCTGGAGTTAAACCATCACAGACAGACACAGAGTTTTGTCTCCTAGGGGATGCTAAATTCTGTCATACTGACAGTTGAGATGTCATGGGGATATAAGCATAGGAGCCTTGACGTAAATGATAAAACATTCTTCTCAAAAGGCACTACTAGTATTCATCAGCACCAGAAGTGTACAGCAACACCCCAGTACATGTATCTTCTCTAGTAGAATTAGCGATTTTTAAATCTTTGCCTATAGAATGAGTTAAACGTATTAATAGAGAGGTTACCCTTTTCTTCCCATGTGCTTTCTTCTCAGTAGCTTCAGCTTAATGGAGAGGAGAATTTAGATATGTGTATTCCTACTTGGTTTGCAAAAGATCTGTCTGTGGTGAAGTATGATTTCACAGATACTCTTCAAATTTTTTGTGGGGATTTTAGCATTAAATCCATTATTGGACTTTGAAGTATTTATGTATTTCAATTTACCAATCTTTTTCTTTTATGTCTTCTTGGTATCCATTTGATCCATTTTAAATCATACACATCAACACTTGGCTTAGTGGCCATCTGAGCCAAACAAAAGATGCTACCTTCCTTGTAGATTTAGTGCTAATGGCATAGAACGGATTGTCTCATTCCTGATGTGACTCAGATCTCTTTGCTTGCATATTTACTTTTGATTTACCTATGTTTTTATACCAGATACATATTTCTTATGGTCTTCAATACTCTGTTTAGGCTGAAAGAATTGGATTGTTTTAGCTGTGCTGGTGATCGAGCCAAGGTCTTGGACATTCTTGGGCAAGTTCTCTACCAGCGTTATACCTCCACGTCTTGGTTTCTTGAGGCGGGGTTGTATTGTGCAGTGAAGGCTGGCCTTGATATGTAGTCGAGATTTGCCTTGAGTCCATGATCCTGCTGCAGCTTCCCCCTGAACACCGCAATTGCAGGCACACACCAGCATTCCTAGCTAACTCTGGTTTTTTCCCCCCTTGGGATTGATTTTGTTTTACAAAGCATTATATGAAGCCTACAAGTTTGGCATCTTTCCAAAAGCATCTGTGAGAAATTATATGGTCATTGTATTAAATGTAGCTATACCCTCCAAATCAAACCCTTGACACTTACAAATATGACAAATGTGGGTTGAAAGTCAAGATTTCATGATAATCCATGCTGAAATAAACAGCTGAGTTCTGAGAGCGTGTAGCCACCGAAACCATGTCTATATGCCTGACTGCAAATGCAGGCATTAAGCAGATAGGTCACAATTAGGTATACCTACTTATTCCCAAGAAAAGGTACCTGTGGAAGCCTGGCTGTTAGAACGGGAGTAAGCATTGTATTAGAGCAGCTAATAGATGTCAGAAAATAGTAAGAAGGCTGCTGGCTCTTTGTTTCTAACTCGAACTAAGTGTGCAGGAGCTACTTTTTCCTGATGTGCATAAAGCAACCTTGGGTGCTATGCAGCTCATTTGCATGAGGCACACACACACACACACACACACACACACACACACAGAGAGAGAGAGAGAGAGAGACCTTTCAAGGAACTGTAGAGACTGCAGAGAATGAATGCACTTCGGGCCATTTTATTTTCAAGGAATGGGCTCTGTTTAGGAACCTTTTTCTTTTTTAAATGTGCCACTGCTCTATAGTGGGGTTTGAAAAGGATCTTTGACAGAGGATTTTTTTTCCTTTCTGTTCACAGACTTACAGGCTTAGAAGTAGGATTTTTTTTTAAAGGCAAGCGGGGAGACACTCTCATCACATTTATTGTCATGATATTGTGCCATCTGCTGGGGCACAAGATGCAGGGAGACCTGCCCTGCAGCACACACAGCAACCAGTCAGCTCATTTGTCACAGCCCCTTGGCTTTGCTGGCTGCTCAGCTGCTGGCCATGTGCTAAAGTCGCTTTTCGGTCAGTCCCTAAAGATCACAGGCTGCAGCCGAGCTGTTGAGAAAGCCACATTCTGTTCTTTACAAAATGCTAAGCTAGTGCCATCACCAGAGTCTATAGTAGTTAGAATGCTAATGTTTATGTGTTAGGGATCAGGGTTATGCCAGAATGAAATGTATCTTAGAACCAAGAGAAGAAACAGGAGAGGAATATCTGACATGGGACAGTTTGAATTAAGAACTCAGAAGTCAACATTAACATATTTACATTCTAGTCTGTTTTAAATATGAAATAAGAAGGTATAAAAGGAAGTGGTCTGGGTCCTCTTTAGGATATGGAGCAGCTGGATTAAGATAGCCATATCTGGCTACAATACACAATCCCGTATCTCCCTAGTGTCTTAATTAA